ATAATGTATTGTCCGGAGGCGAAAATAATAATAATCGGTTGCCTGCGAATGCTTATACACCCAATTACGACAGCAGTGCACACAGCATTGTCTCACGCGGTATTTAATCAACCGTTAAAAATAATTTGTTTAATTATAATTATATAATATCTATGGTAAAATATTGTTTTAATATCAACTATTATTACATCGATCGCACAACAATAATAATATTATCTGAATGGGAGTACTAACCGCGAGTGTATTATTTACGTATATTAATAATAAAATTTTATAATGGGTACACACACAGCAGGTAGATGCCTATATTATGCACGCTGTAATCGAATCAGTATTCAGTTTACTTATTCCCGCGATCGAATTACGAGACTATTATCGGTGCTCGTGCACTGTACACAATAATAATAATATTCATTACTGGATTACGAAAATAATTATTGTAGTAATTGAAATAATTGTTGATTCTGTTGTTTTTATTTCTCAGGGGCGTGGATCGGTTGATTTCAGAACAAGTAAATCAGAATTTGAGTAAACCGTAGCTAATCGATTGAAAACAATTGAATTGTTTACAATTCTACGGGGGGTGTTTATTTGTAATAATTAATTAAAATGTACCAACGATGTTAAAATATTTTTTTTGAAATATTCGTGTAGTAATAGTTTTAGCGACATTTTATTGTAAGAATAGTTTTTTTCTTAATTCGTACAAAACGTATTGCTATATTTATATAATGACAACATTTTTTAATTGTTTTTGATTTGTTTTGCAGTTATAAAATAAATTTATCATAATGTTTAGATGCTAGTCGAAATTGTCGAGAAATAGGTTATTTAATTAAAATATAATCAAGGAGTATAACTATAGTTACTAAACGTTTGGAAATTTTGGAATCACATTTTAGAGACTGCTATGGGGGCTGTGTACTATTTGAGAAAATATAAACGGACGTTGAAATTATAATTTAAATAATATGATATCTATACAATATAATACATCAAATTCATACGAGTTTGAATAGTGCATGATAGGATGATCATCAATGATCTCCGTCAGGGTCAGGATACATAACATAATAATATTGTTTGTATACAGGTATATATATTATATATTTAATGCGATGTGGGAGTGTGTTTTCAATGGAACGCTTTTGATCGGTCTGTGATTCATCGTAAAACGTTCATTAGCATCTCATTGTTGGTGCGCTAAAACGGTTTTGTACAGTATTATAGTTCGCGACGCGTCCCAAGTATAACGTATACCTATAAATTATAACGCTAATGCTATGTTGGCGTGTAATAACCGCTGTAATAAGTAGCTAGCATACATCCGCACGAATAAACGGTTAATTATGATATATTTATAGGTGTGCGATAAAATTTGTAGCTCTGAAAAACAAGGAAGGTTGTAGGTCGTATACTCGTATATCAGTATATGTTTTAACGTTTACTGAGAATACATTATACATAAATATTATAAACAGATTATAGAATGATTCACAGAGCATGTTCTTCCCATTTGCCTTTTTCACTAATGCCGGTATTTAAAATCTGATTTTCGGAATTTTTAAATATTCTCAAAGACTATGTTTTCAAATTTTTTCACTCTAGGTACTTAAGAAGTGTCCTGGGAGATACAAATTTCTGTTTTCAAGATAGCACTTCCCCCCTTTCTATTGTAAAATAAATTATTTAATTAATATTTTTTCTGAAAAATTTGACGTTTCGAAATCGAAATTTGAATGAGTGGTTTTTGAATATTCAACATTGTGTACTATGGATAATAGATCCGTAGTTTAAAAAACGTGGGACTATGATAAATTGAAAATTGTATTAATCTATTAATATTTTTAATTCATAAAATTTTTCGCAGTATAATAAATTCTATATACGATATTAGGTAGGTACATACATATTTTTATACTTGAATAAATCCATTTTTAAGAATTATTATCTATATTATAAATATTTTATTAACTGAAAAACCACTTGTTCGAATTTTGAATTAAGTTTATCGAAATTTAAAAAAAATTACCTATTAAATAATTAATAGTAAAAATAAGTAACTTATTTGAAAAATCGAATTTTGTATTGTAACAGGACGCTCTTTAAGCAGTATAAACATTCGAAAATATGGTCTTAGTATTAAGTATTTACATATAAAAATTTAAAATATCATAATTTGAATAAATTCATTATTAAATGTATAATGGGGTGGAAAATGGTTGGCAAATCACTCTGTATAATATAGGTATATATATATATGTTTATACATATTATCATTGTGTGCATACAATTGTTGTAAGTTTGTATATTATAAAAGTATATAACATAATGTAAAATCTAAGCTAAATATTTAATGTTTTAATGGATTGACTAAATAATTAACTAATTAAGTTAAATAGAAAATTTAACTAATTATAGCCAAGTTGAAACGTTAAAATTATTTTAAATTATTAAAGTTATAGTTAGTGCTTCCTCGTTTTTGCTATGATATACATAATATAATAATTCATAGTAGTACGTTATAATAAGATCGATTACACTGCATACACATTAAAATTTTACAACTCGTACAATCGTACAAAAATATAAAAGTCTTATAATTAGACGTGACCTTGGTATTAACATTCGACTATAACATTATAGTAAAAACAAAATCGGTGTTTCACTTTGGCTTAAGTATATTTCGTTCGTTATATGCATTACGCCTTGTACAGTTTATAAATGCAAATTCACCTATATATACCCGTTTTGTACACGTTGAATGTAACACTCCGCAACGGTTTCCCAACGCAAGCACTTACGTGGGCGGCGTGTCTATTTGTCCCGTAGTAAAACCCCCTTTTTTTAACTCTACTTCCGTCCCTAATATGCACTGTACGAATTACCATATTACACCGCGTAACGTTGTCCATTAGTAAAATTACCTGACCCATTGTAGTGACTTGAAAATAATTATTGTCAAATGAATGTACTGGTCTGGTTGCATTACGTGTTGTATGCATATATACTCGTATATTTAGGACGTATGTATAGACGATTTGACATTGACGTTACATTTAAATATTATGTCATATATTCCGGATACACAGTGTATGTGTATTGTATGTGCGGGGTAATTCACAAAGATTGTTCTACTACATTTTTTCCTTAAGCAATAAGCATATTCAAATTCGTATTTTTGGAGTTTTTAACCATACGTAAATAAATTACTTATTTTATAATACTTTAATTTGCAAATTATGTTATGGTATAATCTTTTTCTTTCAAATGAGAACCATCATTACTTATTGACCTTTTTTTTAAATGCTAGTATATATATATATATATATATATATAGTTGAATTTCAATCGAGTAGTTTTTGAGTTTTTAAAATTTAAGAATTTATTCTAAGGATAATATTCCATGATAATATTAAAAAAATTAAAGGCTATGATTTGAAAAATATAGAAATCATCAATATTTTATTCCTAGTTTGTGAAAATTTTCAGAGTACAATATGTTTACTAGATTAAATTTTACACCTATTTTAAATTTGTTAATTAATAACTATTATTTTCTAAATATATCAAGTTTAATAACTCGGGCATTTATCTTTTGGTAAGAAAGTACAGAAAAAAAGGGTTATTGAAAAAAAACGTTTATATAACCACGGGATATTTTATACATTATACAAAAGATCTTTGTATTTAGAATTATAATTCTTAAAAATATATTTAAAAATTCAAAAAATAACAATTGAAAGAAAATATATATTATTAAAAGTTATTGGTGGTTAGTATGCTTAGTGATTCACCCTGTATATACGATATGGTTTAGTAAAAATATTATAATTTTACTATAAGAGTGTCTTGTTTAAACCTCCCGATAACGGAAACTTCTTTGATGTCGACGAGTTTTTCTTTTCTGTGGATCAGATGTATTGTAACACAATATAATATAATAACGGAATCCTTTATTGAATAAATTATTTTCGGTGCCGATGCCGCCACGAACCTTTAGGTATGATATATAGACCAAAATTATTATCGATTTTCGTTTCGGTACTACTTAACAATGCGAACGCATATTGTAATATTTGAACTGCGCGTCTCAGTGAACGTAGGGAGCAATGCAGCAGCTGAAACGCGTATTTCTGAGTTCTATAAAGAGCGATCATCTGATATAATTGTATAAATTATTTAAATAACAGTATTATAGTTTTTTTTTTTTTTTAATTATAAATGATGATTTTTGAGCGTAAATCATTAAGAATCGAATGCAAAAGTAAATATATCGTATGATGTGATTAATTACGTTGTAGTAGACGTGAAACAATTTAATTAAACTAACAGTTTTAAAATGTACCTTTACCTACATTTTATGTTTCAGCTGTGTACATGACACGTATTATGTAATGCAATACGTTTCTTAAATTGTTATCCTCATGAATCTTCATTACAAATTATAGCTTTTAGAAAAGAATTGATGTGTTTTTAAAATAATTTATTAATTTTTCATTTTGATAATAATCGTTCATTATAGGTCATTTTCAAGATGTACCTAATTCGAATTATCATTAACCAATTAATCATTTATTTATGTGTCCTTTAATTCGCACTATTATCATAAAAATGACATAAATTTGGTATAGTGTTCTAAATTATGTATTTTTCTTTTTTCTTAATTTATAGTTATTTTTTTTGGCGTCAGTGTATTAATAGTTATATATGGCCCCTCATCTACTGACTGTTATCATTATATTATTTTAAATTTATTCAAACACAAAACAATGATATAATATAATAATGGATGCTAATGTTGAGCAATTTACTTAACAAAAAATCCTCGTGATTACTCAAAATTTAAGCATTTAGTAGTTTTAAAAAATGCGCTGTATTTCACTTCAAATTGTAAATAACAAGTAAGAATTATACATTTATATAATTATTGTATAAGCATTAAACATTGAGACATACGTTAAATCAATGAAGTATTATAAGTTATAGTTTTCTTATTTTTACAAAAAGATTTCTTGTTGTTGATTTATTTCACGTCTTACGTTGCATGATCGTTCTACTGTATAAGTAAGTATTCCTAAGAAAAAAAAAATTATTATTAATTATTTTTCTAATAATGCTTGCGTGTTTTCAAAAATCAAAATTTAAAAGAGCTAAGAAAATATTTAAATTGACGATAATTAAAAGAGACTATCAAGATTTGACTACAATTATGAAAACTATAATAAGATACTAATTATAATTAATTAAAAAAATAATTGAAAATTAATAATAACAAAATTAGTTTGTTTAGAACAACAGTAAATTTAAATTTGTATGTTCATATTTTATTTTAGTCTATATTTTTTTTAATTTAAGTTTATACCTAACATATTTATTTACTCAAAACATTTTGTTTCTATACCTACTTTTAGACATACAAGTATCTATAGAAAATTACATTATTTATAATATGTTTTCGTAATATTCTTACATATTGTTAGGTAAGAAAATCATAAGTGATTAATAATTTTTAAAAGTATTCTCAGTATTTAATATAGAATTAAAAAATAGAAGATTATTTTAAACATTTTTATTGATGGGTATTGTTAATACTATATACCGAATAATTATGTTCTTGAATTCTGTATTCATAATCGAAAGTTAAGAGATAGTTTTGGAAAATCTAATTGTATATACTGTAGATGCTAAATATTTTCTTACAAATTGACTCCGTTTAAATTTAAAATACTTTGAAAATTTAGTTCCCCAATTGTATATGATATATATAGAAAACTAATTAACTGCAATTACTTTCATTATATAGTCAAATTTTTCGTGATATTAACTAATATACATATTGTTATCTAATACTTAATATGTATTATGTACTAATAAAATTATATTTATTATGTTTTTGGAAAAAACACTCCTTTCCCTTTAGATTTATAAATTAACGCTTGACTCTACAATATTGCTTTGAATGCTATAATTAAATAGCTATAGTATAATCAGAAATAAAATGTGTTCAGTATTAATTTATTGTCATAAAAAATATCTTATAAACAATATTTCTTACCTATGAACAGAAATAATAATGCAGTCAAAACAATTATAAACATACGATCCATATATTCTGAAAAATGATTTAAATAGTAATTAATGTATTGATAATTATTAAGATATTCATACCTTTAAATCCAGACCAAGTAAACAAATTATTAAATGTATTAGACATTTTGTTTTCGGAAGTATTATTATTTCGGTTTGTATTGTTATTAATAAATGGTCCTGTACTTATGAAAGCTGCAGATAAAAAATCTGCACTGGGTGTTGAGTTAGTAATAGAATAGTCGATATGTGGTTGTGTTTGATTTTCAGTTACTTTATTCTGAAAAACTGATACTGTACTCATGTTTAAATTCTGTTGTACCTTACTAATGTTAGACTGAGTTAATGGGTCATTGGCCGTATTCGCATTTCTGGTAATTCTGTTTGTAGTATTTTTTACTGATTTGTTGATTGTATTATCCACCAATAAGTTATCAAACATTTTATTGATAGTGTCGATTACTTTATTCCATGATCCGGAACACATCATTTTAAAATAATTAGACAATGGAAATATCTCTAAATTGAAGTCGTCATTAACAGCAAAATTCAACATGTTTTTGATTTCGTCTGGTTCCAAAATATTTAAAGGAATATTTTCATTTGCTTCATTGTGACAACACATCAAACCTATAGATATTCAAAACACATAACCATAAAAATGAATAAATACGTACAGAAAAAATTTTAAAATTAACAATTTTGTACTATAATTTCAGATTGGTATTTTTATTAAATAATTAATAGCAAAAAATATAAGTAAGTAACTGGTTGTTATATTATAATAATTAACAGTAACTGCTTAAAATTTTGTCATTTTTATGTAAAATATATTATATTAAATTAAATGATAAATCAACCCCAGATAAGTTATTTATTATACTCAAACTATTTCAAGACAAATGATAGATAATATGGTTACATATTTATCATTGTGGCTTAAAAGCAATATCGGTCTTTCCAGTAATTTAAAATTGGTATTTTAATTTTAAGTGCAGTATCGTGTGAATTTTTAAACTGTCATAAGTACTTATATTTAAATAAATCCTATAATATATCTGAAAATAATTAAGATAATCACCGAAACCATACAGGAAATAAATAGATAAAATAATAACATCTTATATTAGTTATATTATATAGTGTTAAATGTTTATTCAAACAAAAAATTTCAAAAAAAATTAGAACACTGTAGAATATATTTAAAAACTCGAATTACTGTATTTTATTAATTTAACTGTGCGTAATCGCTATCGGCGTGTTAGTACTATAGTTATATAGTTAAGAATCATATAAATCTAAACAGAATAATTTAAGAGGAATAAATAAATAATAATAATACTGTTAATCGATGAGACTGTCTATATATCTTTATAACTATACCATGTTGGAAAATATTAAACAACGTAATTGTAAGTATACAAACTTATGATTTTACGATTTTACTTACCAACAAGAGAAAGTGAAATGCTATAAAATATCATATTTTTCATGATTAATCTTAAAGAAATACTTTAGTATAAACAGCAAACGAGAACAAGAGTAAAAATATAAATTCTAACTTCAAACTCGAGACGCAAATAGTGAGACATTAAAATAGCGTATTGACTTGGACGTGGTAATAGCAGAATTTAGTTTATTTTTCTAAAATGGTTGTTATGGAAAGAAAATAAACTATATTATTATTCATAATCTTTGTTATTTATTTAGAAAAAAAATACTTAATACGTAGTATTATACCTAATATTTAAATATAATATCTATAGTAAATTGTAATTTAAAATATAAAATAAAATATTTCGTTTACGGCGTTTGTGGTAAAAACTGCGTTTTTGAGATCCAATTAAAATTTTTGAATAGTTTTTGATAATTAAAACTTAAATTGATACTATATTTGATCATTTAGCATGTTACTAATTCTCTCATTGAAACATTTATCGTAGTATATTATAGAAAATAATCACAACAAATAGACATTACTATATATTTATTTAAATTATTTCTATATATCAGGGGCGGCCAAACAGTCGATCGCGATCGACCGGTCGATCGCAAACGATTTTAAAGTCGATCGTGCTAAAATTTATTTTTAGGCTGCGCACACGAAAATTAATTATGGTGGTATAGTAACTTAATAATAATAAAAACTTTTTTATTGAAGTCGATCCTCAAATGTGAAGTATATTTTTAGTAGATCGCGGCCGAAAAAAGTTTGACCGTCCCTGCTATATATATTATCTAGGCATAATAGTCATTGTTATCTTAGCTACAATAATAGTAATACTAATAATGTGCATTCATAATAATACATCATTTATTTAGTTATATTATCTTATTTTGTTATTTTTATGCTTTCGTATTCCTATCTATTACATACATTATTTTCATATAAATATATTATTTAACAATTTGATACGTGTGGTATACAAATTTTACAATGAAAAATAAATTGATAATTCAAAATAAATTAAAGGGATAATAATTGTATAGATACTTGTATATAGCTAGGTATTAATGGTTTTACAAATATGAATTACATACTGTTTTTTAATTAAAACTGTACAATAAAATTGAAGTACTCAAGTCTCATGTGAACATATACAACTGCACAACTGCAGTTTTAAAATTATTATTATAATCTATTCAAAAATTAAAATAATACAAATTAATTTTTAACTCAATAGCTTTTTGGACGTCAACCGTGAAGATTTTAATGTTTACAATATTTAAGGTCAGCTGTTGTTTAAGTGTCTGTTACAACTTAGTTCCTATATATATATATATATATATGATACTTTTAAAAATATTGTTACACTTAGAGATTCACAAATTATGATAACTCTTTTTCGTTATCCTTTAATAATGTATTTATTTAAATTATCATTTTTTTAATTTGCATTTATATTTTTAAACATTTGAAATATCATTCAAGTGAGAATTAATTTTTACCATAAATTTTTAAGAAAAATGTATTTGAACATTTTGGTTCATCTTAATATAATTTTTACAGAGTGTAACTATTCAATTATTAAACTTTGTATACTATACAGATTATAGTCTTTAAACATAATTGTTTATAGAACATTAATTATTTGGATGTTTTATTTAATTTAGTTTTGACTTTAAAGAAATCTGTTTAATACTTTATTTTAATGTTTAATTTTTTCTCATTTAAGAAAAAATAAGTATCGATTTATAGATCACTCATCATAAAATCAGCAAAAATTATAAATAACACGAGTATTTAAAAATATAATGTAAGTCTAAGTAAAAACCGCCCCCCCCCCCCAAAAAAAAAAAAATCAGAATTTAAAAAAAAATGTTTAATTAAAAAAAAAATTGAGATAAGCATATTTTATGAATAAATTTGTATATATGTTATTGCAATAATAATATATTTATAACAATTATAAAAATTATTAATATTTAAATGAATTTAAGAAAAAAACAATAAAATAAGTACAAAGGAAATAATATACCATGCATAGAAATAATACATTTTAAGTTTAAACATGCCCATGTTTTCATGATAGTTATTTATATAGAAAGTAATTGGTACTTCTAAATTATTTTGAATTTATTACATTTGAAAAAGTAAAAGTAGGTAAACAAATTATTTATCATATGGTATAAAAATAAATATTTTTTATACGCTATCCAATGCTACTGGGTATAAAATTCTGTATTGAAATTATATATTTCAAAGGGTACATGAAATGACTTATTAAATAGAGGTATAATAATAATACATATAATATAGTCAGCTATAGTGTGAACGTGCGCCCCCATATGGTTTTGCACCCGCGTCGGGTTTTCATACACGCCAATGGGAATTTAATGGATGTTTTCAAATTAATTTCTAATATTTACATCATACACGAAAGCCCCTCAAACAAATGGACACCCTCGCGTGTAAAATATACTAGTACCTTTGAAAAATATTTGGTATTTTTTTTTTTACACGATTTGAGTAAACTTGAATTGGCTGATTATCTCGGTTTTACCATGCCACTTTTACTGGGTGATTTCAACGATAGGGCATGACCTGAACTAAAAATTATAAGCTGGTATAGCGAATCCACATACGTTTTGAAAACGAAAAAAAATTTTTATAGTATCTCACTGATGGTACACCCCACAACGATGAGACTATTTTCTTTCAAAAAAAAAAAAAAAAATTACCAAACTTTAATGTTGTGTGATTTAGCATTATATTTTTCGATTCCGTGGATTTTTTTTTGAGGGGGAATTTGTTATAGCTTATATAAATAGGTACCATTGTGTAGAAATACGTATTTGATTCCCATCATCGGTTTGAACTGTGTTCTATAGTAGAAATTGTATAGAAGATAATAAATTGTTACGATTAAATGCTAAATTCACAACACTTTTTTCTTACATTACGAGGATGCGGCGTGAAAAAAACATTGTTATTTACACAGTTTATGTGTGTTCACTATGGAATATAAAATAATATATAACGGTTAAACGGTTGGTGAATTCATCTACAATGATGTGCGCACCCTCGAAACAGCAATCAAACGATTTTGTTGAAACTATACATGTGTATTTATATATATATATATATATTAGGTGCATAATATTTCTGGAGTCGACGAAATGAATAACTTTTTTTGGTCGTCTTTCTCGAGAGTTTAAAAATAATTACAATAATATATTTATGTACAACCGCGTTCAGAAAAAAATATATAACATAATAATATGTTGCTATATCCAATCACGCGAAAGGGGTTGTTAGCACGTTTATATTCATATATATTATATTATATTATATTAGCCATTCATCCGAATACATATTATAATAATACATTGTATGTACACTCGTATTATAGGTATATATCGGTCAGTACATATGATAATATTATACTTTTACATACCCATTGTAACGAATCGTACCCTAAATAATATAATTTAAAAATTTCCGAAAGTTAAATGCACCCGCGATATTGTGCAGTAATATCACTGAAGTACACCTCTAGGACATACAATATTATATCATATGCATATTATATGTACATACGCAAGTCGGGATTCTGCTGCAACATACAACTACATGTATCGTGTGCAGCTGTCAACGGCACGTGTCGTTAGCACGAAACAATGCGGACAGAGCGAAAAAAAAATCTGTCATTCGGTGGGCAGTGACTCGGCATAATTCAATTTGTTCCGGTCAGCGTGAGGTCATATAATATGCAAACGAGCCGTTTAGAGCCACCGCCGCCACCGCCGCGACAGAGTCAATCAAAAGAAAAAAGTAAAATAAATATTCGAAACGACATTTTAGCCGTCATTATAATAAACACAACCGACTCACACACACTGCACGGGGGTCATTCGGTTTCTGTGACATGCACTGATCCTCCCCTAAACGGGGTGAGTGCGCGCGCGAGCCCATATTATTTAATATTATAATATATATAATACAAACACGGTGGACGGTTCGCGCGAACGACGGCGACGGCCCCCACGATTTTTCCCGCACGATATCATCCTGGGGCCTAACCCTTTTCTTTTCACTCGACCCGTTACAGCCGATGACGGACTACGACAACGACGACGACGACGACGTCCAAACGGGGTCGAGCCCATTTAAAACCGTGACTTTTAACTTTTATCCGCAACTGCCGTTTTCCCCGTGCGCTCTGCGAAAATCAAATTCGATCTCACCAACGCACACAATTAATTTATTATATATATATATATATGTTTTTCGATAGCAGTGTACCTATGTGCATAATATAGTCGTAAACGTGTACCTATGACGCGCGTGGGGTGTAAACAGGCTTTGTCGCGATGGCACCCATTTCCACCCTCTCCCACGAGTGCCGGCCATCGTGTATAATAATAATTAGTCGGTACAATATGGGTGGCGGGTACGTTATTACGGCCGCCACAGCAGCCACCGCACATCCACTCTACATAATAATAGTAATAATATAACATAATATTACCTAGGTAAGTCATTATAATATTATGCGTATTTAGGTACATTCAAATATATATATATATTTAATTATATACTGCCTAACGTGCGTGTTTTATAGAATAATATTATTTGTAAAAGTGCGCGTGTGCAGTATTTTATTCAAAAAAGGGTTATTATTTTTTTTCGACGACAACTCGTGGCAGCCGAGCGGGAAGAATAATATTATATGGAAAACGGGACTACGCGTATCGAGTAGTTCATATTATATACATATATAATATATATACATCTACGATATGACGATCGAATCGGTAGACCGTGGACACACCACGTACAGGACATGTGCGAGAACGCCGAGAAGGGCAATTTAAAACGGCGATATAGTTTTGAATCGCACCGGTGCGCACTGCGACAGATATCTCGCCAATTTCCGAATAATATATAATATTGTGTACGCGCGGCGGTAATGGTACCTGGGCTACGACTTCTGCTGCAGGTATAATATATTTTTATTATTGCAACGACGATGATGAAGATAATATAATA